AACTATACTAGTCTTCACTATGAATGAAGGTAAGTATCTTAAATTCTATTATACTTCGATTATAGATAAGATACTCAAAAAATTAGTTTGTTTAACTTATACAAACTAATTTTTTGAGTATCTTATCTATAATTAAAATATAATAGAATTCAGGATACTTACCTATATTCATACTCATTGAACAATATTATTGATTACTATCGGGTGATTTTTTTTATCTACCTTGGTATCGAAAATGTAGTGAAACTTGCATTCGCTTATTTTCATATGGATATGAGTGAACATAAAATGACAAAAACAAAAAAAAGTTTTAGTACCTAGCCGTTTAAAATGACAGCATGCTGTTTTGGATTATAGAGTCTCGACTTCACTCCAAAATTAATTGATCGTGTCTTAAAACATTTTACAAGAGTTGCACATGTTAAACGAATCAGTTTGTTAGGTATCTTATCTCTTAATTGATATATAATGGAATTTAGGTTACTTTCATTTATAGTGAAGTATAGAGTAGTTTACTCACGAAAGAATATTATTCATTACTATTGGATGAACTTTTATATCGAACTTGATATTCAAACGTAGTGAAAACTTGATTTTGATCGTTTTTATATAGATACGAGTAAACATAAAGTGAAACAAATATAAAAATAGTTGAAACGACATTCAACCATTTAAAATGACAGCATGTCGTTTTGGATTACGAAGTCTCGATTTCACTCCAAAATTAGTCGATCTTATCTTGAAACATCTTAGAAAACTTATACAAGTTAAACAAGCTAATTTGTTCAGTATCTTACCTCATAATCGGAATATAATAGAATTTGAATTACTTAATTTCGTTCGTAGTTAAATCTAGTGTAGTTTACTTACCTAACAATAGTGTTGATCATTATCGTGTAAACTTTGTATCAACACCGTTGTTCACAATGAAAATTTGCATTCACTCATTTTCACATAGATATGAGTGAAAACAATGTGATACTGATAAGAAATTAGGTTAAACAACACCCAATAATTTTAAACGGCAACTAGCCATTTTGGTAGCGGGTCTCGATTTTACTCTAAATATAGTTAAAATTTTTCTACTTTCGTTTTCATGTGGGTACGAGAGAATATAAAGTAAAACAAATACAAAATTAGTTTAAACGTCATAAAATCGTTTATAACGATATCATGTCATTTTGGTTACGAATTTTGAATTTCCCTCAAGATNTCATATCGGTTATGAATTTTGAATTTCACTCAAAATATAATTAAAAACACGTTTTATTAATTTTTATGTGAATAAGAGGTAATGTAAAGTGAAACGAATACAAAATTTATTAAAACGGCACTCAATCGTTTAAAAAGGTATCATGCCATTTTGCCGTTGGTTTTAAATTGGGTATGAAAAGTGAGAATGAAAGTGGGAATTCAGTTACGGGATTTTGGTAAATTTTGATTTGAAATTGGACATTTTAGAAATTTCAAATAAAGGGTATTTATGACTTTTAATACACGATAAAATAGACTAAAGGCTATTTTATCAAACATTATTGATATAAGTTATTTTACCAAACATTATTATTGACTAGGCTTTTTAAGCAATTCCCTATTTTTTTAACCTCATTTTTTTTTTCCTTTCATTTTAATGGAAGGTAAGCAAAATTCCCTTAAAATGGGCTCATTAATTTATCTTAATTTGCAGTGAATTACAAGTGGACTCTTACGCAAAGTCCTCATTGCTTTGCTACGTTTAAGTCCATGTTTGTCTAACATTATTCCAAAAAATTATTTGTTACAATAAGATTCTCCATCAAACATTTACTCAACAAAATATTCTAATTCTACACACAAATCAATAAAGTTATTTTACTTTTCAACCACACATTCTTTAAAAAATACTATTCCTTACTCTATTTTTCTCCGAATAATGAAAGACAAACACGCCCTAAATTAAAAATGGGACAGAACTAAAAACCCGGCATTAAAATCATTTCAATGACCTCACGTTCTCACTCAATCTGACCCGTTTTTCTATATCGGCTTCGGATATCGCCGCCGATTGACGTTCCGATGCTGTCCACCGTTCGACTCTTCTCCCTTCTCCTCGCTTCCTTCTTCATCCTCTCACTTGCGTTCGCCTCCGAGTCCGATCACAAGGTATACTTCATTAAATTTTTTCACTCACTTGACGCGTTTCAACAGAAAACGCCCTAATTTAGCTGCTTTCTGTTTATAGTATCTTAAGTTTTTGGTTTAAAATGGTTAAATTTCTGAATTAATTGGAGGTTAATCAGATCTGTCTAAAGATATCTGAATTGTGTGGTTTTACTGTTCACTTCTGCGTCTAGGTGACTTGAGGGTTTTGAGTATTTTATTTGTTAAGGATTCGATTTTCTGCTAATGTGAATGTTTTTTTTTTTTACGGGAAATCGTATTATAACTATAATTTTTGGGTATATATCTCCATTTTTGATGTTCTAATCGCATTATAATGTGCATTGTGTCAGTTAACCACCTCAAAATGATTGGTGTATATCTAGAATTGCTAAGTTTATGGTTCTTGAAATTTCAGTACGTTTTGGAACCTATTTGTTATTTATTGTTTAAACAAAGTGATTTCATGAGTTCGAAGGCATCTTCAAGTTATGCGGTAATCCTCTGATTATTGTCCAGCAAAAGAAAAGGTTGAAAAACTTAAAGACTGCCGTCTGGTTTCTCATCAATATCAACACCCTTCAAAAGAAGTGTTCTCTCTGCAGAACAACATTATTAACCTTTTGATAAAAATGAGGAACTCTTCTTTTTTACGGATATTTGTTTGCAACACGGTAAACTATGCAGTTTTTTACGCAGTTCAATAGTTTTTTTAATTTGTTGCAATGTTTTAAAAAGGCTTAGGCCTTGAGTTCCAACTTTAGTGAGGTTTCAATTTAATGCCTCAATCAGGGGGCGTAGGGAGGCCCAGGCCTGCCCCCCAAGCCCACTATGTATCAGGCCAATAGAATTTTTTTTTTTTGGTCCCTTGGCTCCGCCCCTGGCCTCAATGCTTGCATAGGCGAAACTAAGTACTGAGGTGGTTTTTCTTTATGAGACGCCTCGAGGCGGATTGAGGTGTAAGCCTCACAAAAAATAAAAAATTTAAGTAAAAGAATTATAAAATAA